GGGCAGGGAGGAAGGTCTCTGAACAGAATCACTCCCCTGGCAGTATCCCACCACTTCCCAGATTGTATTCCACCCTGGCTCTGAATGTAGACTTGTGAAGAGGCAACTCCTAGGGTAACAGTAATTTGGAATAGCGCACATTTACACACTGATATCAGATACATAAGAGACCTTATAAGTGAGCTCAGGATATGCAAATGATATTTCACAAAGAGGAAATGCAAATGCACAAAAACACTTCAGGATGTGTATGGGCTTGCTGACTGCAAGTTAAAACTAACTCCGTGTATCACAGTGCATCTATTAACACAGTAAAACATTTATATAAATGCTCATAAAATACAAAATAATGTTTGTTAAATAATTATATAGTATTATAATCTAATAACATATTGGAGATGAAAGAGAGATGATCATTTATCTTGGTACTGTAGAAGGATAAAGCGTTTCAGAAAGCCAAAAAATATTACTAGGTATTGACCCAACCTAGTGATTCCATTCTAAAGACTTTGTCATACATGTTTTGTGTACGACAGCAAGAGCCTGAAAGTAACTTTAATGGTCAACCTTCAGAGCATGTTTTACTGATAGATCAACATTAGGTCACTCGTAATGATCATTAAGTAACATTATACATCTGCTCTGCCAATACAATAGCCACTATTCATGTGCAGCTAGTTGAGTAAAATTGAATTTAAAATTCAGTTCCTCTGTCAAACTAGCCACATTTCACGTGCTCACCTAGCTATCCGGGGTGGGCAAAAGGTTTACAGGTGTTTGTATGGAAAATAACTAATATAAGAGTAAACTTTGTCTCTTGAACTCATAACTGTAAAAAACCTACTTTTGCCCACCCTGTATATGGCTAATGACTATTATATTGGATACTACAGCAAACATTTCCATTATCCCCAAAAGTTCTGTTGGATAGTGCTGACCTGCATCTCCTCCTGCCACATACAACCATTTATCTAGAAACACCTCCTTAACCGTCAGGCCGTGGCCTGAGCCTCGGCTAGTATTTGAAGCTTCCTCTGATTTACCCAGGCAATTTAGGTATATTTTCCCAGCGTTTCATCAACACCTTGATAACGCCAATACAAAAACTGCATCACATATAATTATACCCTTTTCCCCATTACAATCCTGTAAGTTTTTGAAAGAGGAACCAATTTTTATCCGGGTTTTGAACTGTTCTGGAACATACGTATAGGACCTTCATAACCTGTCATATACTAAGAACATTGCTAAAGACAACACAGATGTACACTATGACGACATGTGGAAAGAAAAACTTGGGTAGGTTGGCAGGCTCACAAGTGATTTTTAAAAAAAACTACTAATTCTTTACCTCTCTCAGTACTTAACACAAGGAGCCTCCTTCACAGAAGGTGTTCAGTAAATATTTGTGGAATAGTTTCTGTATTTTAAAAAAAGACACCAAGAGTGAACCTAATGTACACTATGGACTCTGGGTGATAATGATGTGTTAATGTAGGTTCAGCAATTGTAACAAATGTATCGCTCTGGTGGGGGATGCTGATAACAGGGGAGGTTATATATGTTTGGGGTCAGGGGGTACATGAAAAACCTTTGTGCCTTTCACTCAATTGTGCCGTGAACTTTGAACTGCTCTAAAAAAAAGCCCAGCCTATGAAAAAAAGATAAATTAGAAATCAAATTTAGCTTATTATATTAAAAGCATGTTTACATGTTAGACCCAAATATTTTATTCAATAATACATATCATATAGATTTATAGAAAATTTTGAAAATGAAATCTCAAATTTCTAACCCAAATAAGACTTGTTTCCAGTGCACAGAAATTTTGGCTGAAATAATCCCAGGTGCAGTGCTTTGGTTGCCATCAATATACTAACCCAACTTCCATACTTCACTAATTAAGCACTTACCTATGCAAAGCACTGTGGCCACAATGGTAAACAAGACAGTTTCTGCCCTAGCAATATTTTTTTCCAAATAAGAACTTTATCTGCAAGGTAAGTCTTCAAATCCATCTATAAACAATAGATATCCCAAAATGGCAAAAACAAGCTTCTTTCATTATCTCTATTTTCCAAATAATTTTTTAAAAATCTTATTAACCATTTGAGAAAGTAGTACATGACCTGGTTTAAAACAAAACGTTAATGCCTCATTTACTTGGCATCCTAGGGAAAGCTGGTGTTCCACATAAATGAATTTTCCAGATAACTGACACTTGTCCATTTAATATCAACACTTAAATTGTTTGGCATGGAGAGCATTTTTAAAAAACAGCACAAATCTTTAAACTTTAAAAAACAGGCTCTATCTATTTATGTTGTTCTAATAACTGTGCTGTACAACAGGCAAGCCCCTACACTGTATGTCCCCAGGGTGCCTTTGTAAAAGGTGAGGCTATGAAGAGTTTTTCTTCAGATCCCACTGCCTTCTGGTGTGTCAGCTGCCAACTCTGTCCTATCAGTGTGAACCTGACTCAGCCCCCTTTCAAATGTGCTGCTACTTAGAAAACAAGTTTGTCAAAATGTTGCCTAAAACACAGCCTTTGAGAAGTTCGACAAATCTATTTTGGTTGCTCAGTCTTTTATGTCCTGAATCTGCTAAAATCTAGTTACAAGTTCCAAACCAAGTTTTGGATAAATAAGTCACTCCTATATCTTGATTACACTCCTTATATTGCTTTTATATTTAAATTGATGTCAGAAACAACTTCATTACCTATTCACTCATTCAACAAATATTTAAGTATCACTATGAGCTAGGCTCCAATATTATGGTGAAGAATTGAAAAGATTATTAGTTTTGAAAATATTTTAAGATAGAAAAACCCTACTACAAAAAAAAACCCCTATTTAATCCTAAACACACACACACACACAACACACAGATTTTTTTTTTTAAGTCTTTTAAGTGAAATTACACACCACCTAAATTTTTAAAATATCTGTGGGTTCTTTAGACTTAGAAACTGAAGATTCCAGGGTAAAGGAAGCTTTTAATTTAACTAAATATTTATTTTATAGAGCTCTGAATAAGATCCCAACATTTTCTTTTTTTTCTATTACAAATTCCATCTAGCTAAAGACATCACCACCAATATATGCTTTTAGTATTAAGTGATACCCTCAGTCTTGGTAATGATAAGCATACCCATTTCAGCATCATAGTAGGTTTACCATCATCATTTTAATGTTGAGCAACATTAGGAAAGTGTTAATTCAGGAAAATTTCTGTCCAAATTTTCAGAAGTTCCAAGGGTATAGAAATTTTTCTTCAAGTTTTAAGAGTGGGTAAAATATGGTGTGACTCTACATAATCTGCTTTATCTGCCACAATCATATTTTTTACATTCCATTACCCATTAAAACCTAAGGCTGGGAAATGAATCAAGGAGTGCAACTTAAAACTGGTCTCTACGGATTAATTAAGACATCAGGTAAAACCCCTGGCATCAGCCTTACTTGTTTTAATTCCCATGAAATCTCTCTTCTCATTCACATTCTCCTCAGAGAGCATAAGTTAACTACTCATATTTTAGATTTTATAATTGATTAATTATTGCCTTTATTATTTAGACTGAACCAGAAATGGGTATTTGTCATGTGCCTGCTGATCCGAGAAAGTAAAATATTTAGAAGTGAAAAAAGTTACTAACATTTAAAATCTTCAATTACTGCCATTAAAAACCTTTTTCAACAGTGCATTAACATCTCTTCAACATTCATTTTGCAACCTAAAAATGCTTTAAACAGTACTATAAAGGGAAATCCTGACCCAACTCTCAAAATAACAATGTGGTGGTACCTAAAATGTCACTTAATATCACCGTAGTTTTTACAAGTTGGCTCTGACCTCATGAGTATATCACCTTGACCTATGAAATAAAAACAATTCAGAGAAAAACCCAAATATAGGCTCTTGCTCTCTCTAAAAGCCATTTAGGCAAAGAAACGAATGACAAATATTTACTGAGCACACCTGTTATAAGCAATATCTCTACCAGGTGCTCCACACTACCAGTTTAAACACACACACACATATCCCGCTCGAAATATATACAATATAATTAGAGGGAGAAAAGATATTAAAATATATTAATATGAACCAATAGAAAAGTAAATACATTTTTTTATTAAAAAGTGATCATGAACATGTAACGTTCTGGCAGCAGAAATGCAGGGCACTAAAATCAAATTTCAATAAAATTCTTTTGGCTTCCCTCTTTGAAATCTGGCAATCAAAATTAAAAATCAGCAAGAACTAAGAAGTGGGCCAACAGCATCGCCACAGCAAAAAAACAACAACCCGAAATCCTCAGGAGCAACTGGTTTTGGACCATTGAAAACAAAGTTTTTCTGTGAGTGCTCATCAATAGCTTCTCTCCTAAAATCTTATTAAATTAAAAACAACGCCGATTCCTGGCTCTCAACTTTGCGGGAACCGAAGCTTCTTGGAAACGCTCTCGCTTCTCCGATCCCGCTTAGGGGTCCAGCTACACTCGCGGGAGCCGGTCTATTGTTCTGAGCACCGCAGGTTCATCTGCGCACCACGGGGCGCGCGGGAGCTGGGCAGGCGAGGCGCGAACCCGGCACAGGTGTGTGCGTTTGCGTGGGTAAGGGGGGCACAGGTGTGCAGGGCCACAACTAAGGAAGACAGGCCCAACTTCCAGACCGAGACCTCGAGCAAGGGAGGGACACAAAGTCATTTCTTTAACCCTCTGCTCAGGGGTGTGGAAGTGGGGACCGGGGAGGGGCTAAAGGGCTCCCGGAGCCCACCTGCCTGGAGGCCGGGCACTGAGAGTGGACAGTCCCGAGGATCAAAGAAAGGGCTCCCGCATCGAAGGGCCAGCCTGGAAAGCCCCAAACAATGAGCAACGCTGGGTCTGGGGGGACGGCGAGGGCTGCGGGTGTCGCGGAGGTGAAGCCGGGTGGGAAGAGAGAAACAAAGAGAGGAAGAAGCCCCCCAAGAGTGCGCCCCCCACAGCGACGGCAGTTTACCTGGGAGAGCTGCCGCGGATTGGGGCAGCCGAAGAGCGCGGAGCTGGAGCTGAAGCTGATGGCTCCTCGGCGGCTGAGGACGTGCTGGGGGACCGGCCTGTCCAGGGGCAGCACCGGCAGCTGGTAACATACTTCCATTGAATACGCCCGCCCTGCCCCGGCCGCCGGCCCCTGCGCTCGGATGGGGCCGCGGCTGCGGGGCACCGGGCCGAGGCGGGGGAGGGCGGGCGGTGGCGGACCCCGGGCCGGGAAGCCGCGCTCACGCCTCCGCCACCCGAACGCTGCGCCCGGGCCACCAGCGGAAAAGCGCCTCGGCGGCCGCGGCGACAGTTACCAGGACCCGCGCGCGCCCGGCTCCGCGGTGCCGGCGGGGGCAGCCCGGGCAAAGTCGGAGGGGGAACCCCGCCGCCCCGGGGGTCTGACGCCCGCAGGAGCGGAGCAGCGGCGGCGCCGGGGCAGAGCCAGGCGAAGCCAGAAGGGACGGCTGGAGCCAGCGTCGGGACCCGGGTGCGCCGGGCTCGGGAGCAGCACCAGCTCCGGCCCCGCCGCCGGCCCCTCCCCGCCCCTCCCCCGGAGCCTGACTTCACTCCTCCCGCGGCGCGAGCCGGCGTAATTCACACTTTGCAGCCGCGGCCCCTGCGCCAACCACGGCCGCCGCCTCCGTGACGTCACGACGCCGCGCCGCGGGCCCGCGCCGCCGCAGCGCCGGGAGACGGGCTAGCGGCCGCGGGTGCGAGCCGCCCGCCTCCTGCTCGGCGCCCCGCGCTCGGCCACTGCCCCTCGCGGCGCGCACCGCCGTCCTCCCCTGCCGACCTCCGTCCGCAGCCCCCTCGGCCTCTCCCCCGGCTGCTCCCCACCCCAGGCGCGTGCGCACGAGGCCCCGCCGCGCGGGGACATTCCCTGATCGCTCAGCTCTGGCGATCGAGGACGAAGGTGCAGGGCGGGTTCAGCCTGCGCGAGGAGCGCAGCTCGGGCCTGGCGACCCCAGAAACCCGAAGCCCGTGGCGCCGCCGCAGCGCTCAGCCCTGGCCACGGGGTCACTGCCGTGTTTCCCTCCTTGAATTCCCATTCTTGGGCTTTGCTGGGACCGCTGCGGCAGTGACGTCAGCGTCCCGCGCGGGCACCGTGCTCCTGGCTACGTCACTGCCAGTCCCGGGGGGGGGGGGGGGGGGAGGTTGGGGTGCAGGCTGGGGTCCCGCGCTTCCCTGGCAGGTGCGGGTGCCGGCCACGCGGAGAACTGGGGAGCCGATAATGCGGGGGTGAGGAGGGGGCGTAGGGGTGGAGGGAAAACACCGAGACTGAGAAAAGAGTGCACGGGAAGATGAGAAAGGGTGCTATTGAGAAGACAAAGGAGAAAAGGAGATAGCTTGCCCTTTTACCAACTGTTTGTTGGCGTTGGTTTGTAGAAAGCATGAGAATGTAAAGAACTCTTGACCTGGTTTGTAAGCTGGATATGTAAGTTGCAGGTTCGTTTCTTCACGTTTCTCCTTGAACTGTCAAAGCTTTTCAGCTGCAACACATTGTTCCAAATGCATTCCAGCCTCAGGACGTCAGCAGGAACCAGCTCTCCCCTGCTGGCAAAATTGTTAATTTGGCCCTGCGCTCAGGGCACCCACCCTTCCACTTATCTGCTGTGACTAGCCACTGGCAAGGTGGGAAGTACTGCATAGCCATTACCGTGGAGCGGTACTAAATGCTCATGGCCCCATACATCAACAAACGTCTGCAAGGCGTTTTATCATCTTTCCGTGGCATCTGTTTCCTTTATATCACTTTAAACTTTCTATCTCCGCCGTGGGCATTTTTCTACTTTGCTCTCTACTGTTAAAAGAAATATAACTTACACTGTAGTTTCATGGATTTGACTTCACTAAATGCTAAGCTCCCAACTCATCTTTGACACCCTAATTAATACTCCCACAATATTTAGTAGATGTACTGAGCATCTACTGTATGCTTAACATTAAGCTAAACACTTTCTCCTATTATAACAAAAAGGAGGAGGAAGAGAAAAAGAAGAAAAACAATCCTGAGGTAGTAGTATTTAAATTGAAATTAGTCTCAGGGAAACATAACTTACCCTAGATTTTACACAGATAAATGGCAGAACTGACCTCAAATACAGCTAACCATCCAGAAGCTGGCATTGGTGTGATACCAGACAGTATATGCCAAATAACTACATCACATTTAATATCGAAGAGACTCAGTTCAATTAAATCGTTTAATAAGACTCAGGGCCCTAACTAAACACATCTTCCCTCAGCAGAGTGGGAAGCTAACATTTGCTATCCACCTACTGTGAGCCATAATTTTACATACAATGTTGAACTTAACCCTACATAACCACATACGTAAACATTTGATCTCAATTCCACAGATGAGGAATCAGGTTCCAAGACCATAAATCATTTATGCCACCGAACTCTGTTCTGTGTGATCTCAGAGCCATGGATTTCCACTGCACCATGGGTATCTCAAGACCAGAACTTCAATTGTGTTCAGCATTCTTTTACTGTATAGGGGAGTGTACTAGCACTCACCAGAAAAACAGAACCAATAGGATATATCTCTATCCATCTAGTCCCTCCAAAAATGTATACACACACTTTGAATAATTATAAAGGCAGTGTTTATTAAAATACATTTCAATTTCAAAATTAAGCTAGCAGCTCTTAAAGTGTGTATACATTTTGGGGATATATATATATATACTAGAGGCCCAGTGCACAAAAATTTGTGCACTCGGGGGGAGGGGGATCCCCCTCAGCCCGGCCTGTGCCCTCTCGCAGTCTGGGACCCCCTCGGGAGATAACGACCTGCTGGCTTAGGCCTGCTCCCGGGTGGCAGAGGGCAGGCCCAATCCCTAGGTGCAGCCCCTGGTCGGGCTCAGAGCAGGGCCGATTGGGGCGCCCCTGTCATGCACAGAGCAGGGCGATCAGGGGGTTTGGGCACTGCCCCCTGTCACACTGATCCTGGTGCTGGGAGGCATATTACCCTTTTACTATATAGGATAGAGGCCTGGTGCACGAGTGGGTGCCGGCTGGTTTGCCCTGAAGGGTGTCCTGGATCAGGGTGGGGGTCCCCACTGGGGTGCCTGGCCAGTCTGGGTGAGGGGCTGAGGGCTGTTTTCAGGCTGGGGGTGACTGAAGCTCCCAACCGCTCCTTTTTTTCTTTTTTTTTTTATTCTAGGCCAGCTTTAGCTTTGAGGCTTGGCTCCAGCTCTTAGGCCTCCGCTGCTGAAAGTAGGTTTCTGGCCTTTGCTTACAATGTTGCGATCCTGCTGGCTGAAGCCCGGTGGACTAAAGCAGGTTTCTGGGGTTTTGTTTAGCTTCTATATTTGTTACATAGTTGCTTAGAGTTGCAGCTCAGAGGCTGGCAGCGGCAGGCGGGGAACGTTGGAGTCCTCCGTCACTGAAGCAAGCAAGCCTCATGTTAGTTTCAAGCTGCCTGTCTGCCGGCTGCCATCTTGGCTGGCAGTTAATTTGCATATTGCCCTGATTAGCCAATGGGAAGGGTAGCGGTTGTACGCCAATTACCATGTTTCTCTTTTATTAGATAGGATATATATATATATATATATATATAGAGAGAGAGAGAGAGAGAGAGAGAGAGAGAGAGAGAGAAAGAGAGAAAAGAGAGGGAGAGAGAGAGAGAGATTGAGATATGCTACACATGTGCCTCATCCAGGACATGAGCTGGAGGAGCTGCAGGCCCTGCTGCTGCCTCTTGCAATGAGGTGAATCAGCAGATCATGTGCAAAATTGCAATGGTGCCTGGGACCCTGCATGGACCTTCCAAGTATAATGGCTGGTGCTTTACTTCCACTTAAATCTGCAAATTTCTATCATGGCCAAGCAAAACCAAAATCATAAAAGAGAATTATGGGAAATGTAGTTCCTGCTTAGGAACAAAATCACTCCAGTCCAACTCTTGTCAACTTGACATCCATGCACACTTTTATTTTTTTTTCTTTCTTTCTTTTTTTTATTGCTTAAAGTATTACAAAGGGTATTACATATGTGTCCATTTTTTCCCCCCGCCCTAGACAATCCCCTAGCCTCCCCTATCCCCCAGTGTCTTATGTCCATTGGTTATGCTTATATGCATGCATACAAGTCCTTTGGTTGATCTCTTACCCCCCTACCTCCTGTCCCCCAACCCTCCCCGGCCTTCCCGCTGCAGTTTGACAATCTGTTTGAGGCAGCTCTGCCTCTGTATCTATTATTGTTCAAAAGTTTATAATGGTCTCTATTGTCCATGATTGAGTGAGATCATGTGGTATTTTTCCTTCACTGACTGGCTTATTTCACTTAGCATAATGCTCTCCAGTTCCATTCATGCCATTGCAAATGGTAAGAGTTCCTTCTTTTTTACAGCAGCATAGTATTCCATCGTGTAGATGTACCACAGTTTTCTAATCCATTCATCTACTGATGGGCACTTAGGCTGTTTCCAGATCTTAGCTATGGTGAATTGTGCTGCTATGAACATAGGGGTGCATATATCCTTTCTGACTGGTGTTTCTGGTTTCTTGGGATATATTCCTAGAAGTGGGATCACAGGGTCAAATGGGAGTTCCATTTTCAGTTTTTTAAGGAAACTCCATACTGTCTTCCATAGTGGCTGCAGCAGTCTGCATTCCCACCAGCAGTGCACAAGTGTTCCTTTTTCTCCACATCCTCTCCAGCACTTGTCGTTTGTTGATTTGTTGATGATAGCCAGTCTGACAGGTGTGAGATGGTACCTCATTGTTGTTTTGATTTGCATCTCTCGGATGATTAGTGACTTTGAGCATGTTTTCATATGTCTCTTGGCTTTCTGAATGTCCTCTTTTGAAAGGTGTCTATTTAGGTCCTTTGCCCATTTTTTGATTGGATTGTTTATCTTCCTTTTGTTAAGTTGTATGAGTTCCTTATAAATTTTGGAGATTAGGCCCTTATCAGATATGACATTGGCAAATATGTTTTCCCACACAGTGGGTTTTCTCGTTGTTTTGTTGATGGTTTCTTTGGCTGTGCAGAAGCTTTTTATTTTGATGTAGTCCCATTTGTTCATTTTCTCTTTAGTTTCAAGTGCCCTAGGAGCTGTATCAGTGAAGAAATTGCTTTGGCATATGTCTGAGATTTTGTTGCCTTTGGATTCTTCTAGAATTTTTATGGTTTCCTGTCGTACATTTAAGTCCTTTATCCATTTTGAGTTTATTTTTGTGTATGGTGTAAGTTGGTGGTCTAGTTTCATTTTCTTGCATGTATCTGTCCAATTTTCCCAACACCATTTATTGAAGAGACTATCTTGGCTCCATTGTATGTTCTTGCCTCCTTTGTCAAATATTAATTGAGCATATGGTTCGGGCCGATTTCTGGCCTCTCTATTCTATTCCATTGATCTATATGCCTATTCTTGTTCCAGTACCAGGCAGTTTTGAGAACAGTGGCTTTGTAATACATCTTGATATCTGGTATTGAGATCCCACCTACTTTATTCTTTTTCAGGATTGCTGCAGCTATTCGGGGTCTTTTTTTATTCCAGATGAATTTTTGGAGAGTTCATTCTTGATCTATGAAGTATGCCGTTGGTATTTTAATGGGA